TTTTTTTATTTATTTTAAAAATTTTTTCCAAAAAAAATGTATGATCAGCATTCATATTTATGATTGTTATTGCAATATTTTGTTAAAGTTGTTAAGCTCGAATATTTAACAATGTAAAAGGGGTATTTCTACGGATATTTTATTGTCGAACACGCCATGTCATTATTCAATCATTAACTGAAGAATACAGATTCATCAGAATATCAAAATAGGAAAATCGTTACTCTTTCTTTTTTTTGTTAATGAAAAAAATTTTTCGCAGAAATTTTTTAGGTTATATTTTTCGTATATTTTAAAAAAATCTTGATTTATTTTGTAATTTTTTATTTATTTTAAAAACTTCCTGAAACAAATTTTTACTTCAAAGATTGCACCAACTACTAAATACCAGATCTTTGCATACTGAGATGGATGGCAATTTAAACATGGTCGGCAAAATCGATGTGTAAAAATACTACACTATACTTTGCCACAAATAAAATAATTCAATAATGAATTATGTTGAGAAGAAACGATGAACACAGAAGACTTTTTTTCAGAAGTTCTTTGGAATAGTTGAATAACATGCCAAGTCTTGTAAGTTACAGAGATACATTCGAAACTTCAATTTATACTCCAAATTCTATTTTTAAGCTTGTTTGGACCAGTTCCTCAACATTTTGCTTTGAAAGACTGTCATAGTTTTAAAAAATTTTTTATAAATTTTTTCAAAAAATTAAGAAATGGCTTTTTATTTTTTGTAAACAAAACTGCTACCATTTAATCACCACAGAGAACCATTTTTTGCCTTCATTACTATGGCTGATGCTACCCTCCAGGAGAGCAATTCATTGCGCCTTCTTTATAAAAGGTTTTTCTACTGAAACGAAGTTAAATATTGAATCCATTGCTAAAACTGCTTCTAAGGATGTTTTTTACTTTTTAAAATTTTTTGACAAAAATTTATTGAGTATCCATCCTGCGCATTTTTTTTAATACTATTTTTCGGGCATTGAATATTGTTAAATATATGGTCTGGTAGCTCCTGGCTATAACATCAATTGGTTTTTTTCAAAAAGAGGCTTTTTAAGATCACGTATGATCACCGATGATAAAAGTTGATTTCGTCGAACCTGGCTATTACCTTTTGGTTTTTAAATTAGTATATAACCAGGTGCTGTGTTATTTAGATGTGCAAAATGGTTCAATGGATAACGATTCTTTCTTGTTATTCGGAGAGCGGTATTCGAACGACTATCCGTTGTGTTGAAATAAAAAGCGCATCCACCTGTTCTCCAAATACTATGGGTTAATTTCTAGTTCATTTTAATGCACTAAGCAGTAATATCTTTGGCCACACACAAACAAAAAACCCTTACAATCTACAACTATTTATGGTTTTAAATAACCCGTTTTTTTGATAAGAAAAGTTTAGTGAACGAATCAATCAATCAATCGAGATTTTCGAGAAAATCCAACGTAGAATCGGTAATGTTATCGGTACTGTCCTGGCATCTCGACTTGAGTCACTTTTCCACCTCCGTGATGTGGCTCTGTTTTCTATAAATGTTTCCACGGTAGTTGTTCTAAAGGGCTCTGTTTCGTATATACCTTTTAAAAGTGAATGTAAGCGAGCTTGTCTCCCTAGAATAATTACGAGAAGTGAATTATTGAGTCGATTTTTAACTGGCGCAAATGACAAATAAGTTCCTTACCTCAATACATGACACGTAGCAGCGACGTTTTGTTCCTTTGAAAATCATATGAATTTCCCTATTTTAGATTCTTCTAGAATAGTTCGATCCTAACGTTGGCTTTTTATACAAACTTAGAATGGTGAAAATCCAATAGCAATTTCGCCTTTTGCTGATTGGTCGGACTGGAGGATGACTTTGTAACCGAAAACGAAGCGAAGAATGCTGATTGGTCAATTTTACGTTGGTGACGTGCGCGTGAATTCGAGAATGGTGACTTCAAAAGAAGCATTCAGTGTTGCACAAGCGGCGTTGAACCTCATTTAACTACACTACTTGATTGGCAAGTCGGTCTCAACCCTTTAATGATGAAATAGCTAGATGTAACAAGTTTATTCTAATAATTTAACAGACAATTATCCGCCTATTATCTCTCCCGGTTCCTCTAATGACCGTTCCCCTACGATCTTCTGTCTTCCTGAACTCAAAGACAAAATTGTTGAACCTTTTGTTTTATTAAAGTCTTTTTTATTAAGTCTCTTCCACGCCTTGGTCTTAGGGGCATTATCCTCAGAGTGTTTATACAAGTGAAATGATTTTTCCTGATTATTAAACTTCCCTCAAATTAATTCGTATTGTGAAGTTGAAATTTCAAGTCCGTCTAAGGTTAAATATCTGGGCAAAGGAATTCGCTGACGGAATGAATGCAAAGGTAAACGAACCGAAGAGGAGGAAGATGGAGAGAAAAAAGGGGAGAGATTTCCCCAATTAAATTGAAAGATGGTGTTTGTGGTAAGAAGAGAATCTGAGGTGTTACTGTCTCGACTCCATACTCGAGAGATCAATTTTTTTGTTTTAGTATCTTTTTTTTTTTTTATGGGGAAATGAAAATTTGCCATGTGACGGTTACACACCTGGCCCAGGGTCGAATCCCTTGGTTACGGCGCCAACTGTGACGTCGTTCCTCCTGGTCGCTCCTCCTGGTTCCAAGCGTGCCGCTCCAACCCCTTGGTTAGATGATCACCAGCCTCGCCTTTCCCAACTCGCTTCCAATACCTGGTTACTGAAGCAACTGTACTGATCTCCGGTCTGTCTACCCACGCTGTGTTTAGATCTTAGACAGACGGGACCAGCAGGGATTGGGGCCGATACAAGTTGAGTCCGACGGGGGTGGCAAAACACAAGTAAAAAAAAAAAAACTCACGAGACAAAAAATTACTGATAAAAAAGGGTGACAACCTTTTATATCTAATGTCCGTTACATAAAGAAAAATTGTTCTTATTTCCCGACCCGCTTTGTGGACTATGGCACCAAGCCTCTATCATACAACCTAAAGATTTCGAATTGCCTACTCTTTAGAATTGTGTATGTCGGAGTGTGGTTTAGTTCGACACTGGGGCTAATTTCTATCGATCATTCGCAGTTGATTCTTCTTCTTCGACTTGAGTTGTATTTCTTTTCACTTCGATCTGGTTGGGAACTTTCTTCTCTCGGCTTTCTGGTAATCTTCTTCTTCTTCTTCTTGGTCTGGAACTTCTCTTGTCTTCGACTTGGGTGGAAGGATTTCTTTCCGCAACTCTTCTTCTCTGTCGTCCGATGGAATTCTCTTGTCTTCCGTCCGGGGCTGAACTTTCTTGTTTTCGAACTTGGGCTGCAACTCTCTGTCTTCGACTTGGGCTGGGGAGGAACTCTGCCTGCACTCTGCCTCTTGCTGCTTCTTGTCTGCCTGCAATTCTTCTTGCCTGTCTGGCCTTCTGCTCTGTCTTCTTATCTTCGACTTGGCTGGCCTGCAACTCTCTGCGGCTTTCGAGCAATCTTCTTCTTCTTCGACTTGGCTGCAACTTCTCTGAGGCTTTGGAGCAATCTTCTTCTTCTTCGATTTGGGCTGGAAGGATTTCTTGTCTGAGGATTCTCTTGCCCGCAAAGGGGCGAGTGAATCGGGCCTGATGCCCGCGTTCAGGCTCTTCCCCCCGCGGTCCAGCTGCAACTGCAAACTCTCAACTCAACTTTTCTGTCGACTGGGGTCCTGCTTTTATTGACGCCGCAACAAACCGGGGTGGGTCTGTCGGCGTCAGGGGTTTCTCGATAATTCCAATAGCCGCATTATTTCTGTTTTCCCATTATCGCTATTATTTTCACCCCTACTTCCTCACAGTGCCTTTTTGGGGGGAGGCGCACACCCATCTCTCCCGGTTTCTCGTATGTCAGGTGACCGTTTTCGACCAATGGTTCCTGATCGAGCATTCTTCCTCCTTCTTTCCGCATATCACGTGACCGTTTTCGACCAATGGTTTGTTGGTCGAGCATTCTCCTCTCCTCCTCCATCTCAAATCGGGCGTGGCCTTACATCGTTCTTGTTTTAAAAAAACAAAATCTAATTTTGCCCTTTTTCACGTACGAAAAAATGACAATCTTGGCTTTTTCTCACCTGGGCTCTGTCAAAACAGCCTGCCGCTAATTAGATGTGACTTCAGGGAAGAATATTGGCGCCATCTGTGAACTGAGACAATCGTTTTTTTTTTACCTCTTGTTTTTGTCAGACCCGACAGTCAAAAAATCTTAATTATCTACATTGAAAATGTCCCCACTTTATTATCGTGGGTTTCCAATTCTTAACAGGTCAGAATCTGTATACAGTTCCACCGGTCACCCCCTCAACCCAAAAGACACTTTTTCTCCGATTAAAAAAAATTTCGTTTCTATTGTTCTAAAAAAAATTCCCTTTCTCCAAATTGATAATGAGTCTTTCTACGCAAAAAGTAGGCTAGGTGTTTTGACCGATATTCTTATCGCCAATACACTGTCATCAAGCCTGGTTCTTTTCCTCCCTCTAAATGATTTTTTCATTTCAAATAACAATTCCCTATTGTCTTTTAAAAATTCGGCCAAGATGTTGGCCAAGATATCTTTCTGACACCTATTTTCGCTAATGACCGGGTCATGCATCATCCATCTCTCTTTCCTTTTTTTTTTTTTCTTCCTTTTTTTCTTTCCCTTCCTTCTTCTTTTCCCTTAGGATCGTCTAAGTACAACTTAGTGAATTATTTTCAACTCAATTATTTTCCGTTTAAAAAAAAATCAACAACCTGTTTAATAAACCGAGTAAAAAAAAAAATTAAATCATATTTCTATGAATATTTCTAATAATGCAAGGTGCATTTACTGGTATAATTCCTGCTAATTAACCCTTGGCGGGGAGGGACTATAAATGAATTTATACCTTTCACAAAGGTATTTTCACGGAACGAATCCAACTGAAATTGAAAACCGGCTCTCCGATTTCCAATTCCGTGTCGTTATCCAATACACCACCTGCATATCAAATCTTACAGCAACTGGTACTCCGAAGAGGTCACCCATTTAGGTACTGACCAGACTCGATGTTGCTTAACTTCGGTGATCGTACGAAAACCAGTTTATTCAACGTGATAGAATTATTATTACTATTACTATTATTATTATTATTTGTTGCACAAATGGAAAAAGAGGAAACAAGGACATTTGAGAAATGTGATATATAATATTAGGGTAGTAGCGGTGGTGGGAAAAAAAGAAGAAAAATTGAAAGTAGAGGGAAATTAGTATCGTCGGAATAGTAATCAAGAATGTTGAATAGGGAAAAGCAAAGATTGACAAAACGAATAGAAAAAAAACATGCAAAGAAGATAAGAAAGATACAAGAAAAAAAAGGGCGTAAGAAGAAACAATGGTGACTACTGAAGAACGTACAAGATAGGAAGAAAAGATAATTAAGAAAAGCAAAGATATAAAAAAAAAGGTTACAGTTAGAAAGAAGAGGAAAAAGAATAAACAGAAGTCGAACGAAAAAAAAGAAGAAAAAAAAACGACAACGCAGGAAAAAGGAAAAAAGAAAGCAAAGCAAACAACTTAATAAAAAGGTAAATGAAACCAATCGCTGTCGAATGACGTCAGCGTGACGTCAACATTACTGAAGGCAGAGGGGATGGACGTGGATAGGTGTTGCTCGAAATAATTAATTAACAACGAATTAAACCCAATTCTAAATTGCGTGCCGAGTGCAAAATATTGTTTTTCCTGATTCTAGTCAGCGTTTAGACGTTTTCGAATTTCTCTTGTAGCTGTTCTGAGTTTTATTGTTGTCTGGCACCACCGCAGAGCAAGAATATGGCTAATATTGATACGAATGCGTGAACAATCTAATTAGACGCTGATACCAAAACTGTGAGATAAACAGCGAGAAAGAGAAAAACGGTCGAGAGTGGTGTGTGTGTGTGTGTGTGTGTGTGTGTGTGTGTGTGTGTGTGTGTGTGTGTGTGTGTGTGTGTTCGAGAAAAGGCGCCATTGGAACAAAATGGCGGGGAAAAATACATATAGATTGGATCCGTAAGAATCAATATATACTTGTGGATCTCTCTAAATGCTTATGTATCTATATATTTTATTTACAAAGAATTGTTTAGGTTATTACACAATGAAGTTGAATGAGAGTTAGATAAAAGAACTGATCTCCAACATTCGAAATTCTCGGCCGTGTGATAATAAGTGTAATATTTTGCAATGATCACTGGAGATGTGCGTGAAAAGCAATGGTTATCTAAGTGGAAAGTGGAATCGGAAACCAGATTCAAATTCTGGTCTAGCTTGTTGCGTTCTCTCCACACTAATATTCTTAGGAAAAATATGAATCCATCGCTTCTCTGCTGTAGTAGGGAAGATTTCTTTCGTTTTGTTTCGAAGCCAGTTTAGAAAATAGGTTTATTTTTACCGCTCACCAACCCCTTGTTCGTTATTTACCGTAATTCCCCATGTATAATACACCTTTATCCATAATACGCACCCCTAAAATTGTGCTGAAAGTGTGAGAAAATGCTTCTACTCACGCATAATACGCATTCTTGTTTGATAATCAAACCCTATAAATTGTACCTCTCCAAATTCATTACAGCTAGCGTTTCCTACTTTTATTAAAATATTTAGTTTTATGATAATTCTTATTTTATTTTACATTTCTAAGTATTGTTAGGTACATATGATTGTATTTTACATCCTTATGGGATCGCAATCGCCGAATGTTAGTGTCAAATTGTTGTGTGTTTGTGGTGAGTAGTAATTTCGCAACTGAAATTGACCTATGAAACGGCAATTGTTTTTAAAAAAATTGTAGCTGCGCATAATACGCACAACTTTTTTTTTTGGAAAAAATGCGTATTATACATGGGGAATTATGGTAAAACCAAAACATATTTGGGATTATATAAGTAATTCTTATTTTTGATAGTGAATATTGCATTAACATTTTTTTGAGGCTTACAATGGTTTATCCAGATACAACCCCAACTATTTAACCCATAGCTGGAATGGGGGTAGAAGAGATGAATTCATAAATTTCCCAAGGATATTTACACGTAAGTGAATGTAAAAAAAACAGAGTGGAATTCGAACTCGGCTCTCTTATTTCTTATCTCGAGCCGTTATCTATTATACAACTCGCACATCCATTTAGTCTAGAAGAAGGAGTATTTTAAATACAAACCGTAGAGAAGGCATCGGAAAATAGTTACTTTTCTGACAAAGCCACAGCAATTCCCAAATAATAAAGAAACGGAATCTGTGGAGAGACATGTTCACCTATGTCAGGAAGGTGTATGGTATTTAAAAATGCAACACAAGGGTGGTGGAATTCATTGCGACATTTTCATATTAAAAAAAAAAGAACTTATTTCCTCTCAGAGCCTTGTGTATCTGTTACAGGTTTATGTTTAGAGGATAAGAACCCAAGCTATATAAGGAAAGAAAATTTGCTTCATGGGTAATTGTAATGTTTTGTTCAAGATTGAAAGCAACTGGACAAAAAATAAGGATGTGGGATTAGCGTTAATTAGATTCAAGCAACCTAAGCCAAAATTGGTTGGTTAATTCTACTATCCAAGATGAAAAACGTTGCACAATGTCATTCAGATTTTACATCTTAAGAAGACAAATGGAAAGAAAAACGTGGAGAGTAGTGATTGGTCAGAAATGAAGGCAAGTGTCACTGATAGCATATGGATATTATTATATTATTATTTAAGTCCATGAGGGATCCAAGAAAAAGAAGAAGCAGAAATATAATAGAAAGATAATGAAGATGTAACATTTTTAAAATTATACATAAATAATATCAATAAATGAATAAATATCCAGATACTTATTTAAGACAGATATCGAACTTCCACAGCCAGGCTGCACATCAGCGTCTGATACAAGTATCGTATTGTTAGTAGATCTTATATTACAATAGTTTTTATTAGGCTCTGATGAGCGGCATATCCGACAAACTTCGAAGTCAGTCGAAGATAAGTATTTGAACAGTCTCTGATTTATATATACATATACATAGAGTAGAACCTCGGTTCACGAATTTAATTCGTTCCTGAAGGCCGTTCGTAAACCGAAATGTTTGTAAACAGAAACTATTTTTCCAATAGTAATCAATGTAAAGCAAAAAGTCACAGTACAATAAAATTAAAAAAGAAAAGCACAGCACAACACACGAATGTATACAACACGGCGGTCTACTAAGAAATGATTCCGTTCGGGTTAAATCGGTTCGGATCGGATCAGCTCGGATCGGATCGGATCAGCTCGGTTCGGAGCGGATCAGCTCGGTTCGGAGCGGATCAGCTCGGTTCGGATCGGACGGCGATGTTGTTCGAGAACCGAAATTTTGTTCGATAACCGAGGCATTTTCTTCTCGAATTTTCTGTTCGGAAACCGATTTGTTCGACATGTAAGACGTTTGAAAACCAAGGTTCCTCTGTAATTGTAACGAGATATTAAGTTGTTCGATTTTGGAATAGATATTTTGTGTTCTATTATAATAGTTGTAAAAAGATAATGTACACACTATTAATGATTAAAGTGCCCTCTCTTTTATATATCAGTCACTTTTAGAATTTAACTTAAAACGTTATATAACCATTATCTATAACATAACAAAAGAAGAGATGCGTTTACTTTTTTCCCCCCTGCGTTCAAGCTTAGTCTTCTAAAAGTACTGCCAGCATTAACATAGCATCGGGGGTGAAGGGTCCACATGTGATCGGACTCTCTAAAGAAAATTGGTAAGGTGAAGAAAATCGATAAAAGGGTTCCGCATTAACCCAGTGAATGTTCGACCTTTTGAAATGTATCCGATGCTGCATGTGGGAAATTCCAATGATTCATTTCTTGATCGAATAGTGACTTGATTTCAGAAATGAGCGCGTTATCGATCATTAAATGATCAGTTTGATCATGATAAAATACACAAACATTTTGCAAAATCGAAATGGCACCAACAGAAGATTTTTCTGATTGTCTGCTGGTCTGCCATTAACGTTATCCATTACAGCTTTTTGGAATCTAACCAGAGCGTCACTGTCGATGTTTACTGCCGGCAATTGGATGAAATGCCCATTCAGCTAATCAAAATGCGGCTGGTACTGTTTATTCAACGAGATTTAATTCTGTTTGATGTTTCAGAAAATGGGTGTCGGCATTTAAATAATATCGGTCCATCTCAAGAAAATTGTCGAAGTGAAAAAACTGAGTAAAAAAGGATTCCGTATAAACTCATTGAAAGTCAAAGAGTTCGACGTTTTCAGGTATGTTCGATGCTACATCTACGAAATTTGAATGATCCATTTCTTGATCGAATAATGTCTTGTGATTGGAAATAGATCCTTTATAACAATCGTAAGCGATCGTCTCAATGGCTTAATCATGACGAAAGACTCAAACATCATCGAAATTGTAACAATATAAGATTATGAGGACTGTCTACTGCTTCGCCATTGGCGTTAACTATCAAACCAGAGCATCACTGCCGAGTGTTGACTGCCATCAACTGGATGAAATGTGCATTCAGCTAATCAAAATGCATCCGGAACTGTTTATTCGACGAGGTTCAACTCTACTTCATGCCAGAGCTTGAACACATGTTACCAGAACGATACTGAAGAAGACTTGTGATATGAGACTGAAACATCCATCATATTCAAATAATTTTTCAGAGGGTAAAGATCGAATATCAGCTTTCATTGACTAGGCTTAGCTTGGTACAAAACATAAGTATTGGACACTCGGTGAGGATCGAAGCCTCTATATCAAAAAGCAAGTCGCTTGAGAGGTCACTTGAAATATTTATCCTAGAGGCGCCAATTGTGCCACTTCAGTTAATGAGCGACTTCTTTTCTTCAGTCAGATTAGACATCTCTCGATGATGGAGACATGCGATTTCGCTTAACGATCGGCTCAGGGGCTTGATGATGACGAAGGACTCAAACACGTTCCAAAATTGAAACAGTACCAATAGATTATTCTGACTGTCTGCTGGTCCGCCATTGGATTTTTCCATTACAGCTTTCTGGGATCTAAACCAGAGCATCACTGCCGAGTGTTGATTGCCATCAACTGGATGAGATGCTCCTTCAGTTAATCGAAATGTACCCGCCACCGGTTAATAGAAGAGGTCCAATTCTACTTCATGCCAGTAGGAGACGGCAGAATCTCACCGACTTAGAATACGAGGCTTTGCTACATCCACCATATTCCCTTGATTTCTCGCCCATTGACGACCAATTTTCCAGAAATCTTGAGAATTTGTTTTCAGCCGAAAGACATTCTGTTGCAAAGAAAGATGTAGAAACTACACTGGCGTCCAAGAGTTTAGAGTTTTATCTTAAGGACATAAATAAACTTGTAACTCAATGGCAGAAATGTATCAGATTTTTAGGGTTCCTATTTTAATTTATTTCAACATGGTTCAAATACATTAATTCAGGAATAAACTTTGATTCTAAAATCAGATATTATCTTCCTAACAACTAGATAGATAGATAGATAGAGAGAGAGAGAGAGAGAGAGAGAGAGAGAGATAAGCAGTGTGAAGATCTACATTGCTTTGTGAATGTCGGTTTTATGCCTTTATTCAGGGTTAAATTGTCGTCTAAATGACGCAAAAATGAAAATAACACAGGCATCTCATTTTAACCGATATATTTACCAAAATTACATAAAAACATCTTGAAATACTAAAGAGTAAATTTATTCAATAAAATCGCCATTGGCTTCAACCAATGCCTCCAGACGACTTTGGAATCTCCTGTAATTTTTTTGGAGGGTCTCCTTGTTTAAATTGTTAAATGCTACCATAATCCTTGCCTTCAGTTCTTTGGTGTTACAAGGAGTTTTGTTGGTCACTCACAATTGCGCCTCACACATCATAATCAAGGGGGTCAAGTTAGGTGGCCAGATGTAAGGGATAATGTGGTCGGAGAAATTGTCTGACAGCCATCACTGGGCTCTTTTACTTGTGTCGCAGGGTGCAGAGTCCTGTTGTCAGACAGGGTCTTTCAGCAATAACTCTCTTGACCCAGGGCAGTACTACCTCCTCAAGGCAATAGATGTAGACTTCCATATTGAGTCGGAGTTCCTCATCAACAAATTCGGGAGATCCTTTTTTTTAACGGAGTGAGTTTTCCGAGCCGCCGTAATTCCCATTAGACTCATGCACCTCTTTCCGAATTCTCTGCACTGTCCTCAGATTGAAACGCAAACACTCTGAAATGTTCGTACTGGATCTTCCGGTGCGAATGCCAAGCAGTACAGCATGCCGTTTCCAAATTTCTGGTGGAGTGAAATGTGCCATAGTGCTCTTTTTCTCACAGACGGTGCCCAATTGATCTTAATATACTGTGCAGTCGACAACATCAAAAACAATCAACGCCTATGATTAAGATTATAAGATGGCGACAATTTACACATCGCACCCTGTATGCTTCTATCCTATGACTTCTCCACAATAATATATATATATATATATATATATATATAAACAGCATATCTTCATTCAATAATATAGACATATGTCTTTTTGTATAATAATTCGTTCTAGTTCTCTAAGTATCTTCTCGATGTTAAGTTGAAATTCAAGAAGGAAGGCGCCGTATTTTTTTGTTAACCCAAGTAGTTTCGGTATTCTCTGAGTTCATCCTCAGTGGTGAATTGTAAAGACAGACTTAATGTAACTGTGATCGTTGTAATGTGGATTTTCAAACACGCACGGACGTCGCTCTGCTATAATTATTTTAATAGTAGCCGTTGTGGTTACGATGATTTGTAAACAAGCGTTCCTTGTGCAAGGTATTGAACTCGTACTCTTTGGGTCCTGTCACTGGATCTAACCAACGCCTTTATCCACTGTGTCACGTGTCCTTGAGGACATCTGAGTATGAATCTCTGGGTATGGGCGATGGAGAACTTGGAGAGGGGAATTAACAGGAGATAACTGATAACTGACATCCATTAGACATGGCACGTGGAAATAGAACAGTCTACCCCAGTGAGCGAAATAAAGAGTTTAGTTCGACATTCCAACCATTATAGCAGGCGGAAGGAAGAGTCTAACATAGGATCTTTAGAGGGAGGACACCACAAATATATATATATATATATATATATATATATATATATATATATATATATATATATATATATATGTTGTTGACCAAGTTTGCAGATATATCGTCTATTAAACAGTAAGTACACCAGAAGAGTATTACATGACTAGTAAGAGTGTATCGAATGAATTAGTGCTCAATTTATTCACTGTTATATTTAACAGTCCCCTCACAAGGAATGTATGTGGTACAAGGCCAAGTTTAACGTGGGTTTCTCTGAGTCCGTAGGCTCGGCCAAAAATATTCCCTTTGAACCAGTATAAACGGGTTCAGGGCATGTCTACCTCCCCGGACGAAACTTTGCCCTGCGGCAAAGCTTCGTTCGAGTTCCTCTCCGCTGAGGCAGAGTGTTCGACAGTTGAGCAATCTATTCACTGTCCCCCGAAGTCTTCTGTCCCACTAATCTCATTGTAGGCGGAAGAGTCTAAGATATTCTTAGAGGGAGGACACCACAACAGTAATAAGTGATAGAATAGAAATAGTGATCAGTTAGACGTCACGCTAATTCACCCCCACACACATATATATATATATATATATATATATAAATATTTCCTTTACTATCACGTGATCTACTTATTCAAAATGGGATCGCCTGTGTTTGCACTCTGGCGATCTATGTTCAAACTACAATGTCGGCAGCGGCACTTTACTCTTATACAACAAAATGATGTTTCTCTGAAGACTACATTCTTAACCTCTTCAAATCAACGGTCAGTGTCATTATATTAAAGTCGTTATCTATCCTACTTATCCTCATAAAATCCACTCCCTATCATCACCCCCTTCGTTCATTTCACACACCCCATTCATTATTACCATTTTACCAGTAACCATCTAAATTGAGTGACTCTCTATTCTATTGGAGGAAATTTAGTATAAAAAATTCTCTCCTTCCCTCTCTCAGACTCTCTCTCTCTCTCTCTCTCTCTATATATATATATATATATATATATATATATATATATATATATATATATATATATATAAATATCCATATCCCATCCGAAATACGTATATATATATATATATATATATATATATATATATATATATATATATATATATATATATATATATCATTGATGTTAATTGTCAGTATGAAATCAAAGGACATTTATTGAATGGTATCCTTTGTTTAATTCTTTTGATGTATATCCAGACAAATATACAATGTCCTTCATAAAATATTTCCGAGTCGAACATCTCATAAAGCACAGAATATTTCCCGCGGTCGTTTACCGCCCATATAAAACATCATTTATGCGCGACAAAAAAGGATACACAGAATGGAAAGCGCCTAATTTCGGCCATAAAATCATGCGGCACTCTGCGTCTCTCGGCTGTTTTATTATGGCGGCCACAGAACTGTTGGCCCAACTCTTTTCTATTCATATCTCTATTTATGTTTAATGAGTGCGACACTGACCGAATGGCGTGAAGGGAATTATTCGTGTTTGCTTTGCAGCAGATTTATCCGGTGGCCTACACATGTGGTGGGGGAAATAAACAAATTCCACCTCTTCTCTCTCATTAGATTTGATTTTCACTCACTCTACTCCCACTGTACATCCATATACACACGGCTTGAGACCATATGCCGTTGAAACATTGGTTCTAGTACTGAAGTTAAGCAACGTCGAGCTTGGTCAGTTCCTAGATGGCTGACCGCTTGGGAATACCACGTGCTGTAAGCTTGGATGTGCGAGTGGTGTAATGGATAATGACTAGAAAGTGTTAACCGGAGAGCCGAATTCTCGTACGATCACTGAAGTTAAGCAACGTTGAGCCTGGTCAGTACCTAGATGGGTGACCGATTGGGAATACCAGGTTCTGTAAGCTTGGATATGCAAGTGGTGTAATGGATAATGACTAGAAAGTGTTAATCGGAGAGCCGAATTCTCGTACGATCATTGAAGTTAAGCAACGTCGAGCCTGGTCAGTATCTAAGCGGGCGACCGCTTAGAATACTAGTTGCTGTAAGCTTGGATGTGCGGAGGGTGTAATGGATTGTGGCTTGAAATTGTTGTTTCAATACCAGTCGCATTCGTTATATTCCCTTACGCGAAAATAACTTTTGGAAAGGCATGAATGCATCGCCTCTCCACTAGCCATGGGTTAATTAATATGGCTTGTATCTTTAATTCATTATTATCTGCTAAAAATTCTTACATTCTAAAAATATTTTCTGGCTTTAAATAACCCGCATAGGGTTGATAAGTCGTAAAAAACAAGTCAATCAATCCATATACACAAATATTGTCTGTTTTCTCTCAATCAGTTTTAATAAATGTGAAATCTGTTTGATTGATATACGTTTCCGATTTGTTCTTTTATTTCATCATTCTGTCAGATTCCGATCCATATTTGATCTGCACTTGATCTTTTAAGTCACACACACACACACACACACACACACACACACACACACACACATATATATATATATATATATATATATATATATATATATATATATATATATATATATCTGTATGTGTGTATGTTGAATTTTATGGAGAAGAAAAATTTTAAAGAGCACCCCAAGATTGAATTACCACGACTCTCATCCACCATGTATTTAAAAGTAGTTTAAAAGCTGCCCTATAGGGCAACATTCAAGCTATCTCCTGCGGAGGGTCTCTTGATTGAGCCATCACAATAGCTAGGGAAGAGTAGATGCGATAGGCAACAATAAACTACAGAAGAACTCAAAACTGATCACTGCATTCATGTATTGCATTTAAGGTTACCTTTTAAAAGTTCAACGATAATTCTTTTCTCGCCACTTAATTTAAAGAAAATTTCATCTACGTAGGTTCTTAATTTCTGAACAAAGACTTATTTTTATTTCATGCGTGACATTCACTGGATTTCGCAATTAATTTGGATTATTCCTAAATTTATTTCCAAATTATAAAAATTTTTATCGTACAAAAAATTTAATCGCAACAAATCGCCGAAAACAATTACAGTAATGAAAACTTGGGAATTCCAAATGTCAGGATTGTAGGTTCAATTCCGACCTGGAATGTTTTTAATTTTTAAGTATAGGATTAGTGTATACGGAATAAATTCCAGTAACCAACAATTACTATTCTTAAAAGAGTGCTCAATACAGAGTAGATCAAATATAATTTATTCGAAAATTATAAGATAAAAATGTTATAAAATCACTACAAAAATAGCCTGTTTGTTTCAACATTTCTGGTGTCTTATCAAGATGATGGTGTTGAATGTAGAATAAAGAGTTTACTCTTTTATTCTACGTTCAACACCATAATTTTCGAATAAATTATATATATATATATATATATATATATATATATATATATATATATATATATATATATATATATGTGTGTGTGTGTGTGTGTGTGATAAAATATAGTTTTAAAGTATGCTATATTTATGAATTAAAGTGCTCAATATCGGAGATAGAGCAACAGCCTGTTTCATGGTGTGTGTGTGTGTGTGTGTGTGTGTGTGTGTGTGTGTGTTTAAAATATATGGACTAAAAAGAACACGGTTAGACAGAGAAAGATTTCAGTTACGAATCAATTTTCTTTTCTTTTTTTTTTTTTTTTCGCATAGTCAGCACCATTCTGTATGCATTTTCGCCGGCGAAGTTTAACAGCCTGAATGCCACAGTCGTAAAAATCGTCACCGTCGGAGGCGAGCCACTTTTTCACCGCAGCGACAACGGCGTCGTTACCGGGAAAATGTCCATCTTTCCTCGGCATGAGACGATAAAATTCGGAAAGAGTCTAATCTGAACTCTCCCGTGAATGAGAACCCAGTCAAAATTTGCAACCAGATTGCCGCTCTTCAAACTGGCGTGGTGCCAAGCTTTGTCGCGTTACCAGCCAAAGGTTTGTCTTCTTGTCGGAATCTGTAATTCCGTGCGTTCAGGTAGTCAGTATAGCAAAGTAACGTCAAGAGGTAATAGTGGATTCCAAAAAATGCAGGAACATCACGTTTTTTCAATCGGAACGCTAGTGCAAATGGCGTAATGGATAGCGGCTCGGATTGCGGAATCGGAGAGCCGAGTTCGAATTCCAGTCGAATCCATTACATTCACTTACGTGCTAATACCCTTGGGAAAGGTATGAATCCTCTCCTATTGTTCTATAGCCTTGGATGGTAACTGGTCTACCACAGAAAGAAATGGCAACCTACTGCGGGAAAAAATAATCTGCCGATGATCGCCTAAGCGTGTATCACACATGACACATAACTGACTCACCTTACATTCATTTAGAAGCAAATACAAGGCATGTCTTAGCAGATCAGGCTGGAGCTCTCTAGCCGTGATTGGTAGCCAGTAGAGGAGAAAGACAACTCTGAATTCAAAACCGTAACGACCAAATCACGGGTTTTGCATAGTACTAGGAAGCCATGTTTATTCATGGTTATGGTGAAGATATCAGCGGCAGGACGTTGGGTGTGGTCAATGATAGAATCTTACAGAACAGACCGGCATTGAACTACTGCAATTTCATGCAAAAACTGGACAATGAAAGAGAACTAATTATTTCTAGTCATATGGAAACTGCAGGAAGACATTGAATAGCGCCTTCTGTCTTCTCATATGCGCGCCCGTAATCGCTATGGTGGCACGTAAACAGCCCCTAGAAAATTTGTGTGAATGTTATAGGGAATCTGGGCGGGAGACCCTATCAAAGTCAATGCAAATATTCATACTGACGGCTTTGCTTGAGTGGTTTTATTAAGAAGAAAATTTGCTTGGTGTCACATCACCAGTGATGATAAGGTCTTAAAGGCTTTCACCGTTAATGTCGTAATTGCACAGCGGGTCCTAACGGATTTGCTTTCGTTGGTCTTTCTCTATTCTTGCGTGGTCATCCGTGCGACCCCGATTGCACAATCTTCGTAATATCTCAACGCTGACAACATCCGTTTTCTCCATATTGAAAGCAACAGTTTCCTGTTTGTAAAATTCCGATTCGCGCGGATCCAACTGGTCTTCTTTTGATGGAATCACAGCTGTGTATAGTCGGCGGAAACACGACGTGTCACACACATCAGTGTCGCCATTACCTATCGCATAACTCTAGTCTCTGTAAACGCCCAGCAACCGTTGACGGATGTTAGTAGGTTTTTCCGTGTGGAAGTATTTATTTACACACCTTTGCTTCGTTGACCCTTTCATGTCAGATGTCAATTTGCCATACTGCCAGTAATTTGCAATATGTAACAAGGCAAAAAGCAAATATGGGTTAGTGGAGTAATTCCTTTACTGTCATACTCGAAATATTTGTTTATGACGTATGGACTAGCACAATAAAAGATAATTAAAGAAAATGTATCACTTTCGAAGTGACCTTATTTCCAGATCTCTAAATATGATAACAAAAAAACTGAAATTAGATTCCTTACCAATATTTTAAAATATCACAAACAATCAAATTCGGCTACTTCAAAATGTGCTGTATATACAAAATGCTGGCAGTATTATGAATTGATCCAACTCCCACTAAAAAAAAATCCTCACTATTAACTAAGGCATTAATAATCGCAGCAAAAGAACTGCGTAAAAGCAAAAAATCCTAATTAGACACGCCAGCAAACAGGACGTTCCCGAGCGGCAAGAGAACAACCATCTTAAGGAGTAGTTTTGTTAAACGACGTTTCTTCAACACTACGATTAATTCATGTTTGAATTTTTGGGGACGAGTAGTTATCATTATTTACAATATTTATAATATTTACAATATATAATATATATATTTATAATATAAATATAATATAAATATAATATTTATAATATTTACAATATTTATTTACAATATTTATATTCAAACTATTGTCCTTATCTTTGTTTTTGTTATCACAACGTGTCCTACGGAACAATGACCTAGTGAGTAAAAGAGTTGATTTGTTAATTTGGTGACATATTGGTTGTGAGTTCAATCCCTGGGTCTGGCAGTACGTACTTTCACTCAGTGGAAACGGGTGAACAAAAACTGAACAAAAAATAAAATAAGAACTAGACGATATCCCCAGACAAAAGCAGTAAAACCAGAACAGTCTGCCCCTGAAATTAAAGGGTTCACTTCGGAATTCCCTATAGGTTACCCAAGTCGATATACACTTGAGGAAGGCCGGAAGATGAGGACAATAGCCCGAATATAAACTGTGTAAATAACTGCGACTAATGTTCACTCCTTATTAATTGCCTATTCACAAAAGCCGCGACGGTGACCACAATTTTTCGCCTACTTATCACCACTCTTGAATATTACCGTCAACATCTTCAGAAATAGATGAAGTCACAACAAAAGAATGCTATTCTGTTTCTCGCAAGGAAAAGTAAAAAAGAAAAACAAACAAACAAACAAAAAAAAAAACAGTTCAACAACTCTTTGTTGCTGACAAATCCAATTTGTATAAGATTTATATATAATATGAAAGATATCCCATCAGTCTTTAAAAAGCAGTGAGCCCTTTTCAAACACTGAGAGAGTTACTATAATTCCACATGTATAATATACCTTACATAATGCGCACCCCTAAAATTGTGCCGAAAGTGTGGGAAAATGCTTCTACTCACGCATAATACGCACCCCTTGTTTGGTAATCAAACCCTATAAATTGTACCTCTCCAATTTCATTACGGCCAGCGTTTCTTACTTTTATTTTAAAAAAATGGTTTTAAACATAGAATAATATTATTCTAATTTAGTTTTATGATAATTCTTATTTTATTTTACGGGAATTTTAAAAGATTTTTGTTCTTATTCATAATGCGCACCTCTGATTTTGCTTATTATTTTTTTAAGAAAAAATGCGTATTATACATGGGAATTAAGATATTCT